AAATCAATGGGAAGCCAATCAGGGCTATGGTGGATACAGGTGCTACCCACAACTATGTTGCATGTACCGAAGTAGAGCGGCTCGGACTTGTTTTAGAAAAGGGTAGTGAAAAAGTCAAAACAATCAACTCTACTGCTCAACCAATAGCTGGAGTGGCAAAATCGATGTTGATCAAAGCAGGTCCTTTCGAGGGAAGGACAAATTTATCTGCAGTTCAGATGGATGATTTCAAGCTTATTCTAGTAATCGGGATACTAAGACAGCAGTGTTGCCATATTCCGATTCGTTAATGATGATGGGTAATAAGCCGTGTGTCATCCCTACACAGGTTGGGAGGATGGGCGAGAAGAGTATCTCAGCCATGCAATTTAGTAAGGGTTTCAAGAGAAATGAACTCTCTTTTTTGTGCACTCTTCGATTAGAGGAGATCGAAGAAGCAAATGGTCCTATCCCAAAACCCGTTAAAAGGCTTATTCGAGAATTTGAGGATATCATGTTGGAAGAATTACCAAAGAAATTACCACCAAGAAGGACGGTTGATCATGAGATTGAACTCATTCCAGGTGCCAAACCTCCCGCCAGGGCACCATACCGTATGTCTCAGCCCGAGCTTGAAAAGCTTAGGAAGCAATTGGGAGAAATGCTGGAGAGTGGAATCATTGTGCCTGCGAAGTCGCCATACGGAGCTCCTGTATTGTTTCAGAAAAAGGCCGATGGTTCTCTTAGAATGTGCTGCGACTATCGAGCCTTGAACAAGATCACTGTAAAGAATAGCTATCCTATCTCACTGGTTACAAAAATTGATCTTTGATCCGGATACTGACAAGTTCGGATCAAAGAGGGAGACGAAGCAAAAACTACGGTAGTAACCAGATATGGAGCCTTTGAATTTAAAGAGATGCCTTTTGGTTTAACAAACGCTCCAGCAACATTTTGTACTATGATGAATCAAGTACTTCACGGGTTCTTAGATATTTTGTCGTGGTGTATTTGGATAACATAGTAATCTACAGCGAGATATTGGAGGAACATGTCCAGCATGTGAGGCAAGTTTTTAATCGACTACGATAGAATGAACTTTATGCTAAGCCGTCTATATGCTCATTTGCTCAGACATCTATCAGTTTCTTGAATCACATCATTGAACAAGGTAAAATCCGCATGGATTCGAAGAAGGTTACAGCCATCAAAGATTGACAACCACCAAAAATCTTACATGATGTACGTTCATTTCTTGGGTTATGCAATTACTATCGAAGATTTGTGAAAGGCAACTCAGAAATTGTACTGCCACTTACTGAATTGACAAAGAAGGATAAGGATTGGGATTGGTTATCCCAATGCCAAGTTGCTTTTGAGAGGTTGAAGAAGTCCATGTGGTCGAACCCGATTTTAGCCTTACCGGATATGGCTAAACCATTCGAAGTTCATACAGATGCTTCAGATTTTGCCCTTGGTGGAGTCCTCATGCAAGGACATCCGATAGCATATGAGAGCCGGAAGTTAAACCAGACAGAACGTCGTTACTCAGCACATGAAAAGGAATTGTTAGCAGTTGTCCATTGTCTCAGAGAATGGCGTCACTATCCTTGGGTCTCCATTTATTGTGAAGACAGATAACACTGCAGTTAGTCACTTCATGTCACAACCAAAACTGTTGAGCAAATAGGCTCGTTGGCAGGAATTCCTTTCAAAGTTCAATTTTATGTTAGAGTATCGTCCCGACTCTAGTAATCATGTTGCTGATGCTCTTAGTCGACGGGCAGATTTAGCTACCATCTGCTCTATAGCTGCTCTTTCAGGGAGCGCAGTCTCCACAAACACTAGAGACCAAATTCGAGCACTTTTGGAGAAGGATCCGGCTACCCAATATTTGGTCGACCTTATCAAGCAGGGTAAAACTCGACAGTTTTGGCTCGATAGGGAACTAGTGAAGACAAAGGCAGACCGCCTATATGTTCCTAAGGGCGAAGATCTGAGGAAATCACTAATTACGGAATGCCACGACACAATTTGGGCAGGACATCCCGGAGAGGAACGCACTTGTGCACTACTACAACGTGCATACTACTGGCCTCAAATGCGGGACGACATTGCAACATA